AACTTCCCACGCTGGAGGAATGGCAGATGAAACTTATGGACTACATGGAATTGGCGGAAATGACTGGCAGAATCCGTGACCAGGGAGAAGAGTCGATGGAGGAAGATTGGAAGAAATTCAAAGACTATCTTCAGAAACACTGCAAAATTAAGGAATGTTAGAGTGATGTTGGATTGAAAATAAGTGGTTTCCAGCTGTACAGGTTAAAGCTAAGGATAGATTAAGATTAAAGATTAAGATTAAAGATGTTTAAAGAAATGGAAATTTGATAATAAAAGGGAAAAATTTAAAGGTATATGACATTAAGAACAAGGATTATGTTTAAAAAAGCTGAAGCTATATAGTTTAATATTTCATTAAATTAAAGATTGGGTTTAAAAAAGTGGAAAAGAAACTGCTGGACAAATAATGTAGATTGGAATACAAAAGAGGGAGGTATGAGGAAGTCCAGAAAATAAGTAATTCAAAATTGGGAATGTAAAAGAGAGTTTGTTTTAAATTGTTATGTTGTGTGTTTCTATTGTTAAATTTTGTATTGTTTTTTTGTGTGTGTTGCTTTTTCTTTTTTCTTTGTTTAAAACTTTAATAAAAATTATTTAAAAAAAAAAAAAGATAATGTGACAGGTCCCCTCTTGTGCATCACTAAAAACAAGACACCAATCCTTTTTTACTAGATCAGTTATGACTCCAGCGCTCATAATCTTAAGGACAGAACTCAGTTTCCTTTTATCTACCGGATAGTCCCAAGGGAAGAAACTCAGTACATGGGGATTGTCAAGTTGCTGCTCCATTTTGGATGGACATGGCTTGGTCTCTTCATACCAGACAATGACAACGGAGAAAAGTTCCTGGCTGCTTTTACACCTCTGATGATCCGTAGTGGGGTTTGTGTTGCTTTCTTGAAAAAAATTCCATCTTTGCAGGCACACGAAATGTCATCCTTACATTGCAAGCCATCTGTCCTAATACAAGTCAAGGTATTCATTTACTATGGGGACTCTGATCATGGAATTTATATAATTAAACATGTACAAAGAATTCATGAACTGAGGAATTCTCACGGGTTAGTCTGGATCACAACAGATCTTCCGAGCGTTGATGAGATGTTGTTTGGTGATGTGGCTTCCTACCAGCCTGCTCAAGGCTCTTTGTCCTTTGTGATGAATACCCAAAAAAGAAAAGAACATGCCTACCATACTCTACTTTCATCTGCAGCTACATCTGAACAGTTTTGGTGGAGAGCATTTAATTGTTCATGCACAAATGATGTTATGTCCATGGAAGGTTGGACAAGATGCACAGAAAAGGAACACCAGGAGACTTTGCCCCAGGAGGTGATTGCGGCAATCTGGGCCCAAGACCGCTATAGCATTTACTACATTGTCCAACTTGTGGCTCAGGACTTAAATGCTGCATATTCATCCAGATCCAAATGGATGTTAATGGTAGGGAGAAGAGACAGATTGGAACTTGAAAGGCTGCAGCCATGGCAGGTCTGTCTTCTCCCCTTTTTGCAAATACGTTGTCCATCTGTGGAATTGTTTTGGAGTCTATATCTTTTGTAGTTTATCACATTGTAATTGTTTAATAGGTTTAGGTTTTGTATGCCTCGTCTTTAAGGAGCATTCTCTCACATGCAGCTTAATTAATTAATTAATTAATTAATATATTTATTTTATAAAATTTATATACTGCTATATTGTTGAAACAACTCAAATCTGTTTACAAAAAATGATCATTAACATTTTTTAAACCCTAATTTGAAATAAAGGACCTGTAGTAATAACCAAATGGCCATACTATTTAGCTGATGTGAGGCCTCTACCTCTATGTCCCTGATTTAGAATAGTTCGCTCAAAAATGGTAAGAGGTCTGGTAAAAGGTAAAGGTAAAGGTACCCCTGCCCGTATGGGCCAGTCTTGCCAGACTCTAGGGTTGTGCGCTCATCTCACTCTATAGGCCGGGAGCCAGCGCTGTCCGCAGACACTTCCGGGTCACGTGGCCAGCGTGACAAGCTGCATCTGGCGAGCCAGCGCAGCACACGGAACGCCGTTTACCTTCCCGCTGGTAAGCGGTCCCTATTTATCTACTTGCACCCGGGGGTGCTTTTGAACTGCTAGGTTGGCAGGCGCTGGGACCGAACGACGGGAGCGCACCCTGCCGCGGGGATTCGAACTGCCGACCATGCGATCGGCAAGTCCTAGGCGCTGAGGTTTCACCCACAGCGCCACCCGCGTCCCTTAAGAGGTCTGGTACCTTCCTCAATTATCAAAGGAAAATAATATTGCATCACACAAAATACCCAACTTCATGAAAAGATTTGCTCAATCATATGCTCAAAATAAGCATTTTGAGTAAGCATATATCTGATTACTTTGATCCATTATTGAGTTTGCATATAAGCCTTCAGTTCTCATAGGCAACCCTTATATCACGTTTCCTAAATGCTGGTGTTTCTCTGCCATTCTAGCTTCACACTTTCTTGAAAGAAATTTGGCTTTCCAATTCATCCATAGGAGGGATGTATTCTGATCAGAATGGGGAGCTGACTGCCAAATTTGATATCATGAACTGGGTCGTATTTCCCAATAGATCTCACAGCACAAAGAAAGTTGGGAGCATCGAGGGACAGGCATCCTCCGGCATAAAATTCTCCATTAATCCGGCAGCCATTGTGTGGCCGGGGAACTTCAGCAAGGTCATTGGATTCATTCATTCATTTGTTTATTGCATTTATATCTCACTTTTTCTCTTTTGAGCTCAAAATACTATATATGGTTTTCTGCCTCTTCCTTTATTCCCTGAAGCAACTCTGTGAAGTAAGTTAGGTTGGGAGGAAGTGATTGGCCCAAGGTCACCCAGGAAGCTTCATGGCTGAGTGGGCCTCCCAGGTTCTCATCCAACCGTCTAACCACTACACCACACTGGATCTGGTTCCCTTGCCAAGACATCTGTTAAATTCTGATAATTTGCTGAGTAGGCCCATTTCAGGTTAACCCTCAGCTGGCCCAGCCCAGGGTGACTGTGTACACCGCTGCTATTTTCCTTGCCCTCTCTGTTTTGAACGGATACACACAGATACTCAGATGGAAAGGGGCAAAGAGAGGAGAGGCTGCCTTTACACTTGCCCTGTGGGTAGTGCCCTGTGGGTAGTGGCGCCTTCCCTGTGGAACGCCCTCCCACCAGATGTCAAAGAGAACAACAACTACCAGACTTTTAGAAGACATCTGAAGGCAGCCCTGTTTAGGGAAGCTTTTAATGTTTGATGTATTATAGTATTTTAATATTTTTTTTGGAAGCCCAGAGTGGCTGGGGAAGCCCAGCCAGATGGGCGGGGTATAAATAATAAAATTATTATAATTATAATTATAATTATTATTATTATTGTCATTGCTCACCTACTCATAGATGAAAATGCATCAACAGGCAGGAGAAGCAGCAGCAGTGAGAAGGTACCCAAAGCATGGTAGTGTGGCCCTAGCTGGCACGGGGACTTTAGGTGAAACTTTGGGTGAAACTGCTGCGGTAGAACAAGACATGTGGGACAGGTATAATTGTGTTATATCACTCCTCCATTGCCCACAATCCAATTCATCTTCCCCTTTCTATACAATATTTCCTTTGCATGGAGGGGTTATTAGTGGCTGCTACCTACAAGGGCCATGTTCTAGCTCCATCGTCGGTTGCTAGGAATTGCTAGTGGAGAGAGTGATAAGGGATTCCCAACGAAGCATCTGGGAGACCACAGTGAGAACAGGATGGTGGACTAGATGGGCCAAGTTGGCAGGCACCTCCTCCAACAAGAATCTTTAAAGGAGCTAAGAATCAAACACCACCTTCACTTGCTTTGGCTGCCTTCCAACTCTTCCTCTCCTTTTTTAAAAAAAATTATTTAATCATTTTATCAATACAAACAGCAACCACAAAAAACACATACAACAAAAGCCACAATAACACAATAACACAATTTAACAATTCAGATTTGAGTGCTGATATACCTATAACTACACCTTTTTAACAATATTTCCCCACCTCTCCTCCCCCTACTTCCCCCTACTTTCTGTCTTATCTCTTAAGTAATCCTTCCAGATTTCTTCATATTTATCCATTCTTAATTTGCGTTGATATGCAATTCGTTCGTATGTAAATAGTCTGTCCATATTGTCAATCCATGTGCTCAATGGGATCTTTTTGCGGCTCTTCCAATTCATCAGAACAAGTTTTTTTGTTTCTAATATGGCACGGTACATCCATTTTTTTTTATCCCTTGTAATCTCCCACGTTTCTGGTATATAATTTAGAAATAAATTCAAATCCCCCAAATAACATTTTTTTTTTATTACTCTTGCTATATATATCCTCACCTCGCACCAAAATGATCTTATCATCGGGCAGTTAATCATCATATGTACTAAGTTCGCATTTTTACTTCCACATCTCCAGCAGTTGCCTGCATTTGTTATTTTCTTCTGGTAAAGTTTTGCTGGAGTCCAATGGACTCTGAATATTATTTTCTGCTGAATAGGTCTCAGTCTTAGATCCATAGAAGCTATTTCTGTTGATTTTATACATGACTCCCATATATCACTTGCTATCTGCACCCCCAACTCTTCACTCCATTTTTGTCTATCAGATTCTAAATCATACTTCTTTCTGTTGAGTAGGGTTTTATATAGTGCAAGTGCAGCATTTTTTGTTTTTGTTGCAGAAATTAAATCTTGTAGCAGCATGGGTGTTTCCGATGCTGCTATAGCGTCAGGGCCAAACTGCCTTTCCAACATACGTTTCAATTGGATGTGTTGCCATTGTGTTTCACTGGTTAATCCATACTTTACTTGCAAAGTCTTATGTTCCACAAATTTGTAATTTTCATCAATTAATTGATTCAATGTCAAAATTCCTTTTTTCATCCAAATTATTATTTGATTTCCAATTTTTAATTTTGGGTTGGCCCATATTGTTAATTTCTCATGCTGATAGGGGTCATCCTTATTATTTTTATTTATATTCATCCAAATTTTTATAGGTGCTTTAATATTATCCTGGAGACTATTAAAGCACCTATAAAATTTGGATGAATATAAATAAAAAAACTCTTCCTCTCCTTGAGAGCTTCCTCTGGGAAGGGGGGTCGAACTGCCCTTTCTAGACTCTGTCAGCCAGCTCCCATTTGCAGATCCCTCATTCACTTAGTTCACTTTCTGAGTCTAACTCTTCCCCTGCACTCAGTGGGGCCACGTTCCTGACATAGCAGTGGCTACACCCGTCTCTTTCATTTTGCAGGGGAGGACAAGAAGAAAGAAGACCATTTGAAACCCCTATGAAAGCACAAAGCACCTTATCATCCCCCTTCCTTTCTCGGCTGTTGTAAAGATTCTCAAGCTTAAAAAACACACCAAATAAAACCCCTCAGATACCTTCAAAGAACCAAGCCCTGTCCTTTCAGCCACTGATTAATTGCAGCCCATTGCCATATGTCCGTCAAGGAGCACCTCTTGGTTAATGCCAATGTACCAAATTATACAGAAAACAAACACAAATCATTCCAGAGACGGAGGCTTATCCATGGCAGGGACACACTCCCAGGCCACACCCATTCTGCCTTTCAAGTTGGCTTAAGTGGCACAGCGGGACGTGGTGAGCTCCCCAGACCCCACTGGGGAACATTGCCAGGATTTTAGCCTCTTAAATCCTGGCTTTCCCCTGCCTGAATCTCCTTGCAGCCTACGGAGGGCCGTGAGAAGCGACCACCATTGACTCGTGATGAAAACAGGAAACCTACAGTTTATTTTTTATTTTTCCGAAACCAAAAAATAAAGACAAAATTACAAGCTTCAAATTCAAAATCCATATTCATTTTCTCACATAAGCCTATTACATAAATTACCTAAATTAAAATATACATAAATAATATAATTTAATAATTATTCAGTTGATTCTATTTTTATTTTCTTGCTTAACACTGCACGTTTTATGCATTGTCTATTAATATTTCAATTCAGGAACCATATTTTATCATGTATTCCTTCACTCCATCCCACTCTTTGATTATTCTCTGATTTGAGTGGCCTCTAATAATTGCTGTCAATTTTACCATTTCTACAAACTCACAGAGTTTGTTTTGCCAGTCAAATAATGATGGGATTTTTTCCCCCTTCGAGTTCTTTGCGATCAGTATTCTGGCCACTGCAGTTGTGTAAAGGAATACATTTTGATTATCTCTGGGAATGTCATTAGATATTAGACCTAACAAAAATGCCTCGTGCTTTTTGGTAAAAGAACTCTTAAATAATTTTTTCAGCTCCTCATATACCTTGTTCCAGAATCCTTTTACAATTTTACATCCCCACCAAGTATGGTAAAAATTCCCACCTCCCTCTTACATCTTAAACCTACAGTTTAAAAGGCCACACATCATTTAATTAGATAACCCTTTACCTTCCACAATGTATAAATCACATTATATGTTTTAAAAATGAATCTTTCCGTTGGAAAAAAGATGGTTTTTCCACAATCTCACAAAATTTGGAAGTGTCACATTCTCATTTTTAAGCTTTTAAATCTGGCCACTTTTTTTTTTAAAGGAATCTTTAATTGAGCCTTTTTTTAGTTGGGGCCTTCAAATGATGTCTGTAATTTATGCTGGTCTCCTTTGTGTTTTTTTTTTTTTAATAATTTTTATTAAGTTTCATATTACCAAATTAAACATATCAAACCAATTAGTCCAAATTATAACAATACATATCATATAATCCAATTATTTTCCAAATTATAAATTTTTGTGGGGGGTACCCATGCTTCTTGATTGGCAGGAGTCCAATCCTCGAATATTTGTTCTGCTTTCATATTAAGAATGATGTTTCCAGTCTCTTCTTCTCAATCCTTGTCATTACTCATTTTCCTTTTCATTCACCTCCGAGTTGCTCCGCAAGTGGGTTGAAAAAAACAGTCTTATTTGTGTTTCTGTGTGGGCTTTGTACTGCTCTCTCGTAAATCACTCTCATCCAACAGTCCTTTCTGCTCGAGCGAGCAATCACCATTTTGTCGTCCGATGAAATACAGTCTAAAAGCTCGCTCTTTAGCTTTCCCGACCTGTTGCATCGTAAATTAGTCTTTTTCCAGGAGGGCTGCCCCTTCCAGTTTGCAATCTCATCGAAAATAATATATCTTCAGCTCGCCCCCCCCCCCCAAGACCAAACTCAGCAACACAGGTCTCATATCAAATCTCCATTCTTACTGCGTCACAAGAGAGAGCCCTTCTTCTTTCCAAATCCTTCACAGAGTAAAACCTTTAAATTCATATTATTCCCACACAATTCATTTTTAGTCCCATTTGCAATTAATTGCTGTGACGGATCTTCAGAGGGAGGGTTATTAGTTAATCACATAGAGCAAAAGAAATAAAAAGTCATTCCCCCCTTTCAGTTCCGTTGCATTCCAATCCACATACCATATCTGTAGTACTTTGATGTATTCTTCCGTCTCAGTCCGTCTCAGTCTTCTTCCTTTCCGTGGTAAAATTGTTAGCAGATAAAAACCTCCTGCCTCTCTTGAAGCATGTGCGTTATCTTTCCCAATTATTTTCCTTTTAAGTAACGCAACTAGTTTTGCACCTGGAAGCAGCTTCGGAGGAGTTCCGAGGCCCGCCGAGGGTTGTGCACCCAGTGCCTCACCCCCTCCTTCTTCCGAACTCGGGGGTGATTTATGGCAACAGCGGGTGAAAACAGCATCTCTCCCCCCTGGAGAGATGAAGGGAGACTGATTTACTCCCCATAATCAGCCTCTAATTACCTCGTGCGAGCTGGATAGATGTTAATATCCGCCATCTTCCAAGGCGCCCCTAGCGGCCCCCTATGCTGGTCTCCTTTGATGTTCCTTCTCCTTTTTTTTTGTAGGTCGTGCCTCGTTCAAGATGCACTGAAAGCTGTCGCCCAGGATATGCCAGAGTGGCTAAGGAAGGGGAGCCCGTTTGCTGCTACGATTGTGCTCCTTGTGCTGAAGGGACCATCTCCATTCAGGAAGGTGGGTGACCCCATAGGAAAGGAAGAGGCCTGCTGTATCAGGCCAAAGGCCCATCTAGTCCAACATCCTGTTCTCACAGTGTTGAACCATATGCCTATGAAAAGCCCGCAAACAGGGCCTGAGCACAACAGCCGTCAAGGGAAGGGAGCAGATATTTAAACCAATGTTCGTAACTGAAGGCTTTCTTCCAGATATCCACACTTTCTAAAATTAGAGGGATAGTGACTGGAACGTGAACCTCTTTGGCTGTGGCATCCTGCCAATGGAATGCCCTTCCCCATGGATACTCTCCTGTAGCCAGCAGTGACGTCATCCTGACACCTGCTATTGGTGGTTTTAGTTTTCATTATGGAGCTACATGTTCTCCTGAATGTGAATGCTGTGGTTCTGTGCTTCCTTTTTGGATTGTCACTTATTCTCAAATGTATTGCAACACAGACAGTTATGGATCTAAGAGTTTTGTTAGTGACACTGAAGTCAAGAGGACATCGTCAAGATGGTATATAGATGGTATCTGACACCAAGTAAACTCGCCAAAATGTACAATAGAATTTTCAATGTATGTTGCAAATGTTTAGGGAGAAAGGCTCTCTATATCATATGTGGTGGCAATGAAAGTATGCAAAAAAAGGGGGGTGATATCTGAGGAACTCAAAAAGATGTTTAAATTCACATTCCCTAATAGACCAGAAGCCTTATTGGTGGCAATAATAGGAGAAGATATACCTAAGAACACAAGGAACCTATTTTTATACGCAACTGTAGCTGCAAGGATAACGTACGCAGAAAAATTGAAAGAAAGGATTGTTCCGACAAAGAGAACTTGCAAAATTTAATAGTGTTTGTTGAGTTAGCGAGCTTGATGGCCAAAATAAGAAATTAGGATGCAAAGAAAACAAGAGGCAAGTGGGAGCTTTTTGAGTAATACTTTTTAAAAGTGATATCAAGGTTTACTGGCAAGTAGGATAAGCCTATGAGCAGCAGTAGACAAGTTGAAGGAAAAGAAAAGGAAAATAATAAAGGGGGGGAGAAAATGTAAGGAGTTGTGGCAAACTAAGAATTTGAAATAGGATGTCAATGGAAGGTAAGTTGGGAAGTCTATGCAAGACTAAGGCAAGTCTTGTATGGATGTAATTTGTAAAATGGAAAATGAATAAATAAAATAAAATACATATAAATAAATTTTTAAAAATCACTTAACGCTTGTGAACTGGTGCCTCTCTCCATCCTTATTACCATTCCTGACATCCCCAACATCCCCAAATTATCCTAACATATGGGGACACAGTGAGTTTCGGATGTATGAATGTTGTCAGTGATACTGAAGTTCTTTTCCTTCTCCTCAGATGCAAAGCATTGCACGAGCTGCCCAGAGGATCAGCATGCAAATCAAGCACGAGACAAATGCGTCCCAAAGATTATAACATTTCTCACTTATGAAGAACCCTTGGGGATCGTCCTGGTTTCCTTTGACCTCTTCTTCTCCTTGACCACTGGTGTTGTCCTGGGAATCTTTGTTAAGTACAAGGAAACTCCCATAGTCAAAGCTAACAATCGGGACTTATCCTATATCCTCCTCATCTCCCTCCTGCTTTCCTTTTGGTCCTCCTTCCTGTTCATCGGCCGGCCAAGGAAAGTGACCTGCCTTCTCCGACAAACAGCATTCAGCATCATCTTCTCAGTTGCCGTCTCTTCTGTGTTGGCAAAAACCATCACTGTGGTGCTGGCCTTCCTGGCCACAAAGCCAGGGAACAAGGTGAGGAGATGGCTAGGGAAGAGCCTGACCAACTTTGCTGTCCTTTCCTGTTGTGGTGTGCAAGTTGTCATCTGCACCATCTGGCTGGGAATGTCCCCACCCTTCCCAGATTCTGACATGCACTCCCAAGCTGCAGAGATCATCATTCTATGCAATGAAGGATATGTTGCCATGTTTTACATTGCCCTTGGCTACATGGGCTTCCCGGCTGCCATCTGCTTCACAGTGGCTTTTCTAGCCAGGAAGCTGCCTGGGGCCTTCAATGAGGCCAAGCTGATCACCTTCAGCATGCTGGTCTTCTGCAGTGT